TGTGTGTGTGTGTGTGTGTGTGTGTGTGTGTGGTTATATGCCTGTTTTCCGCTCAATCAGCCTATAATGAGGTGATATGCTGCCTATTCATTTTAATGGTACCATCAGACAACATGATAGGTAATAATGGAAATATATTTTCATCAGAGCCCACAGATTCTGAACATCCCACTAAATGTGCACGAATGCCTTTAGATGAAACTTCTTTCTTCTTTGGCTGAAGTTTGCTTCCACCCACATCAAGTGAGCTTCACCCTGAGGTTATGCAGCATGTGACCGGCTCCACACAGAGGGGGGAGGGGAGGGGGAGCACCGCCGAAATCCCTCAAGTATTTAACCCTGAGATTGCATCACATGGGCTCCACCACTTTGGATAATTTCTCGGTGACTGCCTCTATCCACCGTGTCCAAAGTTGTGATGTCGCCTCTGATAATCTTTATCTTCATGTTGTATTTTGCGCCCTGCTGTCCGCAGTTCCCTCGCCCGTGTGCCACCCGGGAAGCTTTACGCACCAAGGAGTGCTGCCCGCCGTGGGAAGGGGACGGCTCGCCCTGTGGAGCCAGCTCGGGCCGGGGCTCCTGTGAGGATGTGGAGGTGTCGGAGCAGCCCGACGGGCCGCAGTACCCCTTCTCCGGGCTGGACGACAGAGAGAAGTGGCCTCTGGTGTTCTACAACCGGACGTGCCAGTGCGCAGGGAACTTCATGGGCTTCAACTGCGCGGACTGTAAGTTTGGCTACTTTGGGGTGAGGTGCAATGAGAGAAGAGAGTCTCTCAGGAGGAACATATTCCACTTGTCCAGGGCGGAGAGGATCAAACTTGTGTCGTACCTGAACCTGGCCAAACAGACTGTCAGCAGGGATTATGTTGTGGCCACTGGCACCTACATGGAGATGGAGAACGGATCCAACCCTCTGTTCGCTGACGTGTCTGTGTATGATGTGTTCGTGTGGATGCACTACTATGTGTCCAGGGACGCGCTGTTAGGAGGGCCGGGCAACGTGTGGACAGATGTGGACTTTGCGCACTGGGCGCCTGCGTTCCTGCCCTGGCACCGGGTGTACCTGCTGCACTGGGAGCATGAGATCAGGAAGCTGACCGGGGACACGAGCTTCTCCATCCCGTACTGGGACTGGAGGGATGCCCAGGGATGTGAGGTGTGCACGGACGAGCTGATGGGGGACAGGAGCCCCCAGGACCCGAGTCTCCTCAGCCCAGGCTCCGTCTTCTCTTCTTGGAGGGTAAACACACACAACCTCCAACTTTTCTTTTCTTTTCTTTCTCTAGTGATATTTATTCATGATTAGGTTCCATTCCAGTTAAAATATAAATATGATACACAGTTCTGAGATGTTTCAGACATTCACTAATTCTAATTTAAACTATCAAAAACATGAAAAATAATGGATATTCTATATTAAGTTAATATAAAAGTTCCGTCATTCACTGCAGTGCAGTGCTAATCAGAAACCACACATCTTTTCTCAAGTTATGAAATACTGTTGAAGTTTTCTCTTCATGAATAAATTGCCATTCAGTTAAAGTATAATATAGAAAATATAATATGTTTTAGACAATTATTCATGGACATTATACAACTAAGTGTCATTAATATAAATAGAGTTGAAGACATAAGACCCTTGTAAGATCTATAATAAAAACTAATTTCTAACAAACACCAACAAACAGATTTTTCTTCCTGTCACCTTCATGCTGTGTACAACGTCTGTCTCCACCTGCAGGTCTTGTGCTCCCAACCCCAGGTCTACAACGACAGAGGCGTGTTGTGCGATGCCAGGGGTGAGGGCCCTTTGCGTCGTAACCATGGAAACCACAACCGCAATCTGGTGGAACGTTTGCCGACTTCTGCGGAGGTGGCGTTCACTCTCGGCCTGAGCGACTATGACACCGGAGCCATGGACCGCGGCGCCAACATGAGCTTCAGGAACACTCTGGAAGGTCAGATACAAGTCTCTGCTCTGCTCCTCCATCTCATGGTCCCCCTGTGCTCCCTGCAATGTGCTGCTTCTGTGTGACTCTATATCTAATATCTTAAAATACACATGATCCAGAAACACTCAACAATCTGGCAAAGATATTCTAATATCACCAGTGGACAGAATTTAAATATATATAAAAAAACATCTGGACTAAAACATTTATTAATTCTACCATAAACAACATGTTTGACATATCTCGTTCACCAGATTATCAATCTGTCATTTCCATTCACTGAGACTCTCCTGACACCGTTAGAGAGCCTCTGTGGTACACCCGCCTCCGCGCTTTAAAAACCTCTGGCCTATGGCTGATATCTGTGGGTCTTTTTAATCCCAGAGCTGGAATTGAACTTGTACTCAAGATAGTACATTCTGTGCAAATATGGTTATTGTAAGAAAGATAAATAATACATCAGCAAACTAAATCAAATGTATTTAAAATAAACATCTACTTTTTATTGATAGTACATATGTATATGATAGGATATCTTGATAATAACAGACTGGAACATAATAATAAAGATAGTCAACTGAAGGAAAGCTTTATGGAATCACTATAATAAAATGTTGAATTCCAAAATGCTGTTCAAATCCACTGTGGTGTAAAATATCCTGGGGATGAGGACACGATGTCCTTTTGCAGAAAAGGCTTTTGATTTTCTCAACACAACACGCTTCCATCTCATGCTGCAGGGTTCGGGGATCCTCAGACTGGGTTTGGAAACAACGTTCGTATGGGCATGCACGCTGCCGTCCACGTGTTCATGAACGGATCCATGTCGTCGGTGCAGGGCTCAGCCAATGACCCCATATTCCTCCTCCACCACACTTTTGTTGACAGGTGAGAGACGACACACATGCAGAGAGATACAAACACTTGATCCGTGAGCATTTACAGTAACCGCTGCTTTTGTTTTTCTTTAATTCAAGCATTTATGAGCAGTGGCTCAGGAGGCACAGGCCGTCTCCTTCCCAGTACCCAGACTCGAATGCTCCCATCGGGCACAACAGTGAGTACCACATGGTGCCCTTCCTGCCCCTCCACAGAAACAGAGAATACTTCATTTCCAGCAAGGACCTCGGGTACGAATACTCCTACCTGCTGGACGCCAGTAAGTGAACATTTTCATTATCCTATTTAATTCTAATATTTGAATCTTCACCAAATTCTCCTAGATATCAGGCCTCTGAACATGTCTGATTTTTAGCATCAATATCCATGAATTATTCTGCGAGGAAATCAAGGAAAATGCTCTGTCTCATAATCCTGGATCGGCCCCCTGATCCGCATCCGCACCAAATGGATTAAAGGATTCTTCCTTGTTGCAAACAGCATCCTTCCACCAAGTTTCGTGTAAATTCAGTGGTTTTTATGTAATCTTTCTTACAAATAAACCAACAAACAAGTGGGGGTGAAAGCTTTTTATTTACTAACCTGTGAGAGAACACTGACATTTCCTCTTCTTCTCTCCTCTCATGTTTCTCTCTCTCTCCAGATCTGAGGCTGGCAGAATCCATGCGTCCCTTCCTGCAGGCGCTGCAGGACGTGTGGCCCTGGCTGCTGCTCGCAGGACTCTTGGGGGGGATTGTGGCGGTGGGTGCAGCTGCTGCCGTCTTCACAGTGAAACGCAGACTCCGAGATTCCCCCTGGCTGCACGGGGGGAAGTGGAAAAACTTATTTGCTCTCCCAGAACGACAGCCACTTATCTGGGGAAATGACAATGAAGCCGGCCACTATAACTACCAAACAGCGATGTGAAGCCACAGCCAGGCCCTGCACAGTGACACACACACACAAGTTTTTATACCAAAGATCTTTGTGTCGTATGCAGTATTCTGACAGAGTATTTCAACATTGTTACTTTGGTTTTTAAAGGTGCTACAGAAATAAAGTTCATTATTCTTGTTTGCAGTCGTACAATCTTTAAATTCAGGGTTTTCTACCGTGTTGCATCAGTGTAGTTGATGTAAAGTAAGGTATTTGTTTTACAGCATTTCAATACACTTGGCAAGTACTTTTAATACTTTAAGTATATTTATAACCAAGTACTTACTTTTATTTGAGAGCAAACGTTAATGTGGTACTTTAACTTAATCAGTAATAAGTTTACAGAAGCCTCAGAGGACCAGTTACACATACGAACATACATATAATCTGCATTTATTCTATATATATAAATCTATATTTACACATCATCCACTTTTGCAAAAACATTTTTTTTAATCTTCACACATTTCACAACAAAAGTAACAAAACAAAATTCAATTCATTTTCTTCCTTATTTAAACAGTAACGTGGACAGAGCAGGTTTTCGTTCTTTAAATGATCTAATTGTCAAGTTTCCACAGTCGAAGCTTAAAAACCTGATGTCAGCTCAACACATAGATTATGTACAAGACAGTCATCTTCACCAGATTCAGTTTTTATCATTGTAAAAATAAACAGTTTTGGTTTAATCCATTTTATCGTAAACTCGGTCCTTTGTGAAAACTCTCCAAGAGCAGAAATGTACATTATATTTATGTGGGTTTGGATTTAAAAACATTTTGAACAACATTTGAACAGATTCCTCTTCCTTGTTGAGTTATTCTTTTGGAAGAAGAAAAAAGTTGGTATTATCTATTAAGATGTCAAGTTGTGAAACAAACCCACAGCGTCAGGATTTAATATTCTAACCTTAGGATCATGCATTAGTTTTTTTTAAAAACCTGACATTTGTAAAAGTCTTTACAATCCCAGAAGTTTTGGTTCAAAACCTTCACTGGAAATGTCGCGTCTACACTAATTCAAAAAAAGTGTTTCACTTCACCAGGTCCCTCCAGTTAATACAACCTGAACAAAACTTTCAGTTCTCAGTATATACAGTACAAGAAATACTCTGATTCAGGCCATCACACATACGTCACCCCAATTTAAAAGTTCCACTCAAAAGTTTATTTTTGGTAAAACAAATGTGTTCCTTAATAACTTTAACCTCATTTCGTGGTCTCATTCAGCCAGATTTATTTCATTCATTCTGAGCCTTGACACATGCTGTCCAGAGCAGAGCATTATTTTAAATAACACAGTACTTTGCTTCAAAATACTATGTACTCAGTTGGGATTATCCAATAATACAGTACATTCTCATTAAAATGGTGCCATGTTGGTTAAATTAGGACAAAAACAGCGTCGATCGTTTGAAAGCAAAACTTGTACAAAGTGTACATTTGATATAATCATGTAAAAATAAATCTACAGGTGAAAAAGATGGATCAAGTTGGAGCAAACATCTTATTTCTACGTTCATTTATTCAGAAAAAAACTCTGTATCATACAAGAGTATACATTTTAGAGGTGGAGAATTTCCTACTCGGACGACATGGAGCAGCTTCATCATCACACAAACACAGATAAATATCTAAGAGTACAGCATTTAGTCTGATGTGATACTGGTGGACCAAACAATGCACCATGTTACATAAGGAAAACCAGAGTGGAATGAAAAACAGGAAAACGTCGTTGGTGGAATAGCAGTGTGATCCTTTGGGATAACATGACGTCATCAGTCCATGTGACGAGACACAAAACAGGGCTTTATGGGTATGACATTAAAACACGGTCACACGGGACTCTTTGTGTTGATCAGTGCAGTGAGTCTATTAAAAGTCAGAGCCCCCCCCCCCCAGTCCTTAGGTGAAAAACAGCTGTAAAAATACTTGTAGATCTTTAGAATAAACTTTATGACGGAAAAAAAATAAAGACAAAAAATTGAGAAAATCAAGGAAGGTGAAAATGTTGAGGAGAGGCCGAAGTCCCACATCAGCAGAAGAGGCGACTCTATAAAGAGGGACAGAATGGAGCGGCGGCGGATTCGGTGAAATTAACTGTAAGTCCTCATCATTCGTCTTCATCTTCACTATCATCTTCTTTGTTCTCCTCCACCTTGGGTGGCGGGACGGGGGGAGGGAGGTCCAGACGGGCCCACGACATGGGCTCGGACTTCCTCATGGCTACCTCGATCTTGGCCGCCATCATGTTCACTGTAGTTTTACTCACATCTATCACCTACGAGGAAAAAAAAGTTGGGAGTGTGTAAAAAGAGAGAAACCGATGGTTTAAGGGGAAAAAAAAAAAAAAGTCAATGAAAAAGCCCCAGAGCGAAATTAAATAAAAAGCTGCTTTCATACGAATCTAACCAATTAGAGGTTTCTCAGAATGTTTCCTTATCTTCCATCCGAGAGCCGGGTTAGAAACACAAACCAAACTCAATTGATGGTTTCTTAAATTAAGGATGTGCTCTTGTAGCCCATGGGAGATTACAAATCCAAACAAGGGAGCAAAGCAGAAAATTGTGTCAGAGACAACATCAGCACAGTTTCCTCAGGACAAAGGGTTCACAGATAAACTGGTCCGGCAACAAGACTTAGTTAGGATCGGAATTAGTCGCACATTCAGCTTTCAAGTGTAATTGCTGCCATTTTGAATCCTCACTCCAAAAAAACCTCTGCTCTGTAGTAAATACAATAACATGACTTTTATACTTGTTATTTAATAACGAACAATAATAACTGGTATTATTATATTGTAGTAACTTAAAGCTATGTCATTTTTACTGTGCAACAGCGCCCTCTGCAGCCACACATGTTGATTAGTTCTGTTAGGATCAGAGTCCGAGCATTTGAGTATATCAATGTACTGACTGCGAAGTTCCAGTAACTGACCTGAAACACAACTGAACGGTTGATATTACCCATGATCCCCGGCTTCTAGAACCAGAAGAGCTGCTGCTTTAACAAAAAAAAAATGTTTTTTTTAAAGTTTCCTGTTGAATATTGGAGATAAACTCTGGTCTTTAATGACTTCTAGGTCTTTTTTACCGACCGACAGTTCAACGTCACTCTTCAACTTCTGACAAACTGAAGCTGTCGGTCAGTTCCTCACTTCTCACAGGAGATCGTACTCACTCACCAAAGTTACACAGAGCAAGAACAGGTGTCCGGGGTGGTAACCGGACTACATTTACTTTACTTACAACTTTGTATTTCAGTCATGAATCTCGCTCAAATGCTCCCAGCACAGCTGTCGGGAGTAATTTAAGGTTCTGGTGTCTTGCCAAAGGAAAACTTTGACATGAAGACTGGATGAGCCAGGAATTAAACCACCGACCCTCTGATTAGTGGACAACCCACGTTATCTCCTGAGCCACGGCCACCCAGTGATAAGTCAGTGAACCATCAAACTAATTTTGAAGCTGCTACTTATATGTAAAAAGTTGCGTCGAGTTGCTTTAATAATTTATAGAGCTTGAACATGATGCTGTACTCACCCCCCACAAGCTGATTTTCTGCTCAAATTCCTTTTCCCCTTCAAATATGACATGTATGTCGAGCTGAAGCAGAAAACAAAATAAACATCAGATTGAAATGAACAAAATTAAAAAATAATCAATTTGGATTTCCAGGGAAATCATGGTAAACAGATATAAAATCCTTAATAACCCTCACCGTGGTGCTGTTTGCATCAACGTAGCTCAGATCTGGGACGGCGTTCTTAGCGTAGATAGAGATGATGACCTGCGTCCCAGTCTGGTGCCAGTCAAACCGACACGGAACTACTTTCTTACCCTGCAGATTTCAAACAATACATAAATTCAGAGTCTCCACCACAAAGCATTTCCTCCACGGCACAAGTGTTTACCAGACTCCACTAGATGGAGTCACAGCCGCAGCCACAGACATGCAGACACATAATCTCTGGCCGTGAAGCGCCACGCCTACCGCATCTTTTTTCCTCCATAGATGAGTTCCCTTGGTGCAGCCCTCCTGAGAGAGGAAGGTGTTGAAGTCAGAGGTTTTCCTCTTGCAGCAGCTCCAGTATTTCATCCTGGAGACATGGGAAGAAAAAACACTGGATTCGCAAAAGTCGATAACTCATCACTCAAGAGAAATGGTAAACAAGAGGAGCAGGAAGAGAAACAGGAAAATCCTCCTGTCGCTCCCTCCTCGCTTCTTTTTACAGTTTCCAGAGAATATCTACCATTTTGTGTTGATTCAGTGAAACACAGTGATGAATACAAAATACCTCCATTATATGAAAAGATCACAAATACTCACCCTTCATGGAAGATAGGAAATCCAGAGTGGAAGACACATGTGTCAGAATCACTTGCGGGTCCTTCAAAACTCTAAGGAGAACAACAAAAGTGTGGTTTAAACAGTAGCAGATTGTTTTCATTATCGAAAAACATTTGGGGATGAATTGAGAACCAACAGCAAATAGTGTCTCTTCAATGATTAGTTCTTTGAATTGACGAGGTTTAATATTTCTCCAGAAGTGTCATCTTTTTGCAGATGAAGCGCAGCACGCAGAGGGATTCCTTAAAATCTATTGCTTATTAAAGCCAGGAGCATATTTTAGAATATTACTGAATATTATTATCTGTAATGATGATAATACACCTTTCTCTATTTAAGTTCAAACTCCACCATAACCTCAAATGATTTCTCTACTAAAAGTGCGCAGCCCTTGAGAAAACATGTTATGGCTTTCAATCAAATCGGTTAAAGTACAATTATGGAAGTTGCTCAAGTCTCACTTAAAGCTTCTTATAAAACCTTGTCAATGTACATTTCTCCCCTCACAGTTAATGTTCTAATCTTGGGGGGGGGGTTCTGCTCTGACAGGTCAGATTAGCTGGAGCGAAAAAGTTTGGTTTAAATCCGTCTCAGCGCAAACGAGAAGGTTGGTGAGTTTTTTAGGGAGTTAAAATTTTAGTTTGAGCAGTATGTGGGATTCTTTTTTATTTAACTGCAACTATAAATATTTTGAAGATTTCTTCAAATGCAGTCAAGGTTGGAAGTATTTGGATTGTTATTTTCTTTTTGTTCTTCTGGTTCTGAGCTTAGTTTATTGTCCTGAAAGATAAAACTTCACTTTCATTGTACAATCACATTCAACTCAACACAAAACAACAGAGCAACACCTAGCAAACGACAGTAAACACATTGAACAGCAACAATAGCAAACAAGGACACCTCAATAACAACATTCAATTTTCATTTTTCACGGATGGTAAAAAGGCATCGAGACAACAGCTGGGGAACAGCAGGATCATGATGTCTTATTAAGCGTTGCTATGGCTGCAGGTATTAGCCGAAGCCTGTTGCATCTTATCGACCTGTATCTGTGTCCTGAGGGCATTATGGGAAAGTGGCAGTTCTGTGTTACCAAGGTTGGGAAGGAAATGACGGTCTGACAGCTGAGCTCTGACAGGTCAAGTGTGGGACGAGCTATTATCTTTGCAGCCGTGTGGTCAGTGACAATGAGCGTGTTAGAAAAACACGTAGAGCAGAAAAGAAGAACGGGTTAAACGATGGGAGTAAAGTCTGGGACTCATCAACGTGAATGACGTTGGTTTCGTGACGTTGAATCCCGACAAAAGCAAGAGTTTAACACAAGGTTTTTCACACAATACAAAAACACTTCCACCTACTTTGGTACAGCCTCCATTTTTACAAAGCGTTCCAATCTTGATCTCGTCGCTGTCTTCCTCTATAAAGACAAAGACGCAAGAACTGACTTTCAAAAGCATCAGACAAATATTGCATTCACACATGGCACACCGACCCGTCCCTGTCAGCTGTCAAATTCCCAGCGGCCGTCCATTAACTTCCGCTGTCAACATGACCTTCCCCGACTACTATTACAAGAAGTGAACTGTAACCTGTGATGAAGAGGAGAAACATGGAGGAGTAAAGAAGAGACAGAGTGGATAAAGTTCTGTTCTCACCTTTCTTCTCGGCTGCATTTTCAGACAGCTTCAGTTTCTCCAGCGCGTTCTTCAGGGAAACTGAGACTTTATGCTGCAATCTCACCAACGGCTCGTCAACACTGTAAGGGAAGAGAGAGAAGATGTTTTTATGACGAAAAAATAATTTGGAAGGGTAGAGGGATTAAAGGAACACGTTTTTGGCAAATATCACTTCAAAATAAGCTCTCTGGTACGAAGCCAGCCAAAGACTGATACACTACATGAAAGGGGTTTCACTTTTCAGTAGTTATCACTTCATCAGTCACTTCACCAGTCCACTTTCTTTTGAACTCTGGTGGGAAGCACCCTGGGTAAAAGACGAGAGAACGGTATATGTTTGATGATTTCAGGCAGATTTCATGTCTCTGATACTGTACCTATCCTTTTATGCATTTGATACTGAACTAGAATAATTCAGAGCAGAATGTAGTCTTTGGAGCCGTATACTAAATAATTATTTCAGTATTAAATTAAAAAGCCCTGTATTGAACGGAGAAAAACGTGCTTTTCTAGTCATCTATTATTTCCTCAAAATGCCAATACAAAGTTTTTATATGATCAAATACTTTTTGCTGCTTTAATGTGGGGAAACTGAACCAATATAAGAGTTGAGGGTATTCCTATAGTATCGACTGAATAAAAATACAACGTTTGAAGCAAACCTCGGTCTGCGAATCGCCTCCTGAGGCTTTGGCGCGGAAATGATGTACTCGTTAAACTTTGGTTTTTGGTCGTCTGCTTCTTTCTTTTCTCCTGTTGAAGTCACATCTGGTTTCACCGGCTCAGGAGGCTTCTCTTTGTTATGGGGACCTTTGGTGCAGCCCTGCGAGGACAGAGTGATTGTGTTGGACAATGACGGCTCAGCCAAATACGACCGCAGCTATAAGGCGGCAGTCAATGCTTCATGAAAACAATAGACAATAGAAACATTGGAGGATTAAAAGTATGGATTAGAACATGGACTCACAGCAATGTTGAGGAAGTCAGAGAAGTCAGTGGTTCTTCTCTTGCAGCACGACCATCCCTGGAGGAAGTTACAGAGGCATTAACTTTAACCAGGGAGCAGGACAACAGAACACGAGCTGACGGTGCATTTTCACCCATTTTACCTTCAATGCATCATGGAACACAGGGACTCCCGGGTGATAGGTGCAGCCATCTGTGAATAGAGAACACTGATTAATTAAGAAGAGAAGTATGTGACAATAATGCAAATAGTTTAACAAAAGAAGCATTGAATAAAATTTACATGTTTACAGGCTTGTAGCTTTACTGGCCTACTTTTAATGAAAATCTACATTCATGAATAATTAAAACTTTCAGCTTTCAGAAGGATTTCACCCCAAACTGCTCAAGTGTGGAAAAAAAACCACTGAGTAAAGTTTTCAAAGGTTTTGAATGTTGCACGACATTCTGAGAGTTAACAACTGCAGGTAATCTAGTCACTTTCTACTGTTTAAATGGGACCATGCCTTTCTTGGTAAAGAGATTGTATGTGATGTCCCCTCACTTTAATTTGTGGTGCATCTGTCAGCGGCGTCTGATGCTGCCTTCACAGGTGTTTGTGTTGGGACTCACAGAGAAGCCCTGAACAAATATTCTACTCACAATATTTATCGTAAAATACTCAGGCAGGAAGGATTGACTTCAAGTGCAGGATTAAAATAATGATATTAATCAATGTAAAGTAATGCAGAAGGTAAGAAAAATAGATTAGAAATATCTTTATTTTCTTATTTCTTACTTCCAAATGACGGTACCAGCATCGATCGCCAAAAATCCATATCGGTCTATTACAGGCTTGGCAAATCAAAACATACAGGATAATAAAAAAGGATGAAAAGGACATAAGATTTTATAGATTGTAATAATAACCATAATTTTCACTGCCTTTTACATAAAACGATTTCCGTTTGTCCCTGTAAGGAGCGGAAAACATAATAAACAATGATTTTATCAATCTCTACTTTTATTCACAAAATAAATGTCTCTGGAAAAAGTCTTTCAAACAGAGGCAGAATTAAAACATCAGCAAAATAAAAGCCAAACACAATGTCCATTTGAAAGTGACACAAGACGACACAAGAAGGCAATTTTAAACTAGCAGATTTAAGATATTTATACATTCTAGACATTTTTATAACAATAAGATATTTTGACAAACCACAAGATTAGTTTTGCTTTAAATGAAAAGTAGAGCATTATTTGTATGAATGCCAATTTTAGGGAACAGCCCTGAAAAAATCAGAGTGGAATGAATAAAGAAATTCATAAATAAAGCATTTTCCTCCATACAGTGCAGCCGGAGTGGTGGCCATTCAATGCTAATGTGAGAGATACACATCTTAGATCGAAAGGTAATGATAATATACTCTAGTGTTATGAAAAGAGGCATCCTATTAAAATGGAAATTAGACCTGACTCCTGCACAGACTATATGGCACCGCACAATGTCGTATTACCTGAAGACAGAGAGGACGTTCTAACAAATGAAAATAAGTGACTCACTGGGGTTTTGTCGAAGGAGCCGAAGACAATGTCACTGCCTTCAAATTTAAATTGTGTTTAGATTAGTGGCTTCATATCGACAAACGTCTCATAAACTAAAGTAATCTTAAGTAAGAAAACTCAAGACGAAGAAGTGGGGGAAAAAAATCACAGCGTCAATGATCTCATACCAACACAACCTGATGGAAGTTATTTTCCATGTGCTTTTGTTGGGGTCGTACACCGGTTTATTTCTAGAGAACAATCATCTTTAAATGATATACATCAACAGTAAAATGTGTGGGGATTATTTTCATATAGTAACACACATAATAACATATTGATAGATAGTGTTTGCCATAAAAATTGTGCTATAAACAGGAAGTTAATCGTGGTCTCTTCTGTACTTCTGGAGGACACGCTATGTCAAACAAGCTCTTAATGGTGATTCGTGTTAAATATGCCTGCTACATCGCATGAAATGTTTCGCCATTGTCTTGAAGAGGAATAACTAAACTAAATAATGAATAAAATCAGGGCTGGTTCCTAAATGGAGCAGGTGATTATGGGTATCATCTCTGTAACTGCAGGGGATGAGGCTTCAGAGTGTACTCTGGCTTTCCTCAGGCCATTGTGGTAGTAAGGAAAAGGATTAGCTCATAAATATTTACATTCCTCATTGTGTTTCCTCAGGATTTTGTGCTTCTTGGTTTAATATGTTCACTATTCTTTGCTCGCTGAAGGGCAGACGTGTCATAAACATTAGGTTTGTAATAACCGACCCACTAAACCTACACTCGGCTGTTAAAATGTCCTTATAACAACTATAAACTCCTTCTCCAATTCTATTCAACGGTGGTTATTGGACACTCAAACATGTCTTCATCTGGAGTAGTGGAACAGACAGTTTTATTATTCTGCATATGTGAGTTTTGCTCTAAGCTTTAAGTCTTTTTGCTTGATTGTCTTTATATCATCTATTTACTTATTTGTACTTTGTGTCGTCCGTGTCCCATTAACCTTGTCTTCTAATATCATGCAGTTATCACATTGGTTTTGATTAATCATGTAAAATGTCTGTGTATGTACTTCTACACTCTTTAGACACGTGTCTTTGTTTGTTGGACCTAAATTAACACGTTATTAGATGTGCGTCGACCATTTCAGATTGATGAACAACATCTGTATCCAGATGTCAACATCGCTTCAGGTTAGATTCATGACTCCTGTGTGTGTGTGTGTGTGTGTGTGTCCTATGAAATTGAAACTTGCAGGATGACTCGTGTGAGGGTGGATTGTGATTTTCGAACAAATCTAAAAAGCTGCTGACAGATCTACTACTTTAATTAAAATCTGAATTTAAGTTTAATTAATATTTTACAGCTTTACAACTGATTTAAACATGTGCAATAGCACAGTTGTGATCATGGAATAACAGTGAGGATTGCACTGAGTGTAATAATACCAATGTAATGTAATAATAATAATAAAGAAACGTAATGAACCTGTGACTGTAACTTACAGTGCTAGTGGCTCAGTGAAGTTTGACCCCGCAGCTAGCTTAACATGCTAATAGTATGGTGGTAAACAGCAGGGAACACGTGTTATTAGCTAACTGAGTTAAGAGCTGTTTATATTATGGATGAATGAAGTTTAACAGCCCGACGCCGGGTTAGCTTCCCGGGCCCAACGAGCCTGGTCGGTCGCCGGCTACAGAAACTTCCAGATGACGCTAGCATGCTAGCATCCTGGGAGCTTACGAAGACGCTACTCACCGTCCGGGTTGTTTTCTGGATCAAACCTCTGTCCACACGCTTTATTGTAACACAACACAGACATGGCGACCTGTGGAGAAGGTTAAAACCGGTCACCGTTAACCAGCCGCTGACGGGCTCGTGTGAACGTGTGTGTGTGTGTGTGTGTGTGTGTGTGTGTGTGTGAGCCGCCGTCCGAAGCTCAAACTAGCTGTGCATTGCCCCGGTTTCACTTCCGGGTATCTTCGGCTGCGCTCGGCAAACATCGGAGATCGCCCGCCTCCATCCCGAGCTCGCGCGGTCCCGCACCGGCCACAGCTGATGCGGAGCGCATTCAAAAAAAAAAAAAAAAAAAACTTGCGTGAAGCGACACGTGCGTTTGAACCACCTCTCGTCTCGGACTCGAACCTCTCCACAGCACCTGACTGTTTCAAGACAGTTTGGCGTGAACTCCTGCAGACGAAGCCGGATTACCCCCCTCTCCACCCCGGGTTACTGTGGTCAGGTGCACGGGAACTGGAGCTGCTGTGGAGTTTTTTTTTTTAACTGAGGATGGCTGCAGCCTGGTAGACAACTGTCGTGCGGGATTTGTGCACATGCGTTTGTTTAATTCCCGTTTCGTGCATCACCAACGATTTCTGCACCAGTTTTTTTTTTTTTTTTTTTTTTTTGCAGAAATGACTGTAGGAGACAGGATGGGGAAGGATTTACTTCCACTACAGCGGTTTCGTCTAAAGGTAGGAAACACAGCGCGATGTGTGAGAAGTCTGAGTACAGTAGAGTTGATGCAGCTGCAGATTGAAACTCGTGGATTTTGCACGGACCTCCACTGGTTCTGCATCAATACAAGGAGACAATGAATGCATCCTAAATATCTCCTGTCTTTCTGAAAGCCTCCTCGGTGTTGATTGTAATTAATATGCATGCTCATATTTGCAGCATATTTTTTTTGTCAAGATCAAGACATGGCTTCTTTATAAGGTGATGCATAAAACACTCAGTATATCCCACAGCCATTGCAATATACCAATAAAAAGATAATTTTAGTTTTTTCGATTCTATCTGACTTTCAACTTTGCAATTGCAACTTTTCCAGGCTGTTTAAAAAAGTAATTTGTGCAAACAATCCCTCAGAGCGTGCTATCTTATGTCCCAGTTCCATATTTCTCTTGTGAAAATGTCCAAACCCTGGTAATCACTGGCTAAAGAATAACAAAGTCCTGTGTGTCTTTTAGCCGAGTCTTTGTAACAGTCGCAGTGATTGTTCCAGATCGCTGTTATTCTTTGTGGTGACACAATATGTTTCACTGCGGCTGAGTAAGTGCACAGAGACTTAGATGTGCTTTGTTTAAAGACATGTCAGTCTTAGCTTCAGAGCCTTTCGGGTGCAGCGTTCAGTGCCTGAGTGCAACCAGTCTGAGCTCAACATTGAATATGCCGTCATATCCTCGTAGTGATCAGACGTGCCCCTGAAATGTCTTTGCAACTTTTGTCTCACACTTCCTTATCAAATTTTCAGCGTGCAGAGAATGTGTCTCTAACAACTCACCAACTGAAGCCAGATCTATTTTTCTTTGTTTTTCTTTCCAAATATAGGGTGACTGGGTGATGGAATAGTGATGAAGGCTAATCGGTGGGGAAAAATGCTTCCTCTACCCGGCTTCTCTCGTCTTTTCCATTTTATTTTATTCTTCCTCCTCCTCTTCCTCCTCTGTTTCACCTCAACCCGTGCCCAGTTCCGGTCCGAACCCAGGGGAGGACAAGGCCTGCTGCTCTTCACCCAGCCTGCCTATAATGCTTCCATCTTCGAGAACTCTGCCACACGAACCTATACCAGAAGTGAGGTCAAAATGGGCATTATTCTTGCTCCGCCTCGGTCTTTAGACATTAAATATTCCATTGCATCTGGAGACAACGAGGGAATCTTCCAGGCTGAGGAGTTTGTAATGGGGGATTTTTGTTTCCTCCGTATTCGCACTAACGGAGGCAGCGGCGCCATATTGAATCGGGAAGTACAGGACAATTACACACTGACAGTTAAGGCATCTGCTCAAGGAGGCCTAGAGGCCTTAGCCACTATTTATATCAAGGTCTTGGATACCAATGATCTCCGACCTCTCTTCTCCCCAACCTCTTATTCATTTGTTGTCCCTGAGACTGCCCCTCTGGGTACCAGCATCGGACGTGTAACGGCCACAGACGCCGATGTGGGCTCCAACGGGGAGTTCTACTACTTCTTCAGGAACAAGGTTGAACTCTTTGCTGTTCATCCGACCAGTGGGGTCATCACCCTGACAGGTCAACCCAGGGTGGACAAGGAAGAACGATTTGAGCTGGAGGTACAGGTTGTCGACAGAGGGATGAAACTCTATGGGAACAATGGTATCAGCAGCACTGCTAGACTGATCCTAGCTGTACAGAGGGTTAATGAATTTGCTCCTGTTCTCAGTGCAGTTGCTGTTGTTCCATCATGGACGGACAAGGACCCTGTCTATGCCGTAGTGACAGTGGAAGATAAAGACGAGGGAGTGTCTGGGGAAATTGAGTGGGTTTCCATCATTGAGGGTGACCCCCTTGAACAGTTTGTAGTTGATAGATCGCCTGGTGGGAATGAGTACAGGGTGAGGACATCAGAAATCATTGACTGGGATGCATTCCCCTATGGTTGCAACATAACCTTCCAGGCGAAAGACAGGGGTATACCTCCAAAGTTTTCTAATACGCAAGTTGTTCAGTTGTTGGTTACAAAGCCAGACCCAGTTCTCGCGAATTTTGAAAAAGATGTTTATGTAGTCAAGCTGAGTGAAATAGCTCCCCCAGGCACTATTGTGGAGGTGGTGAAAATCTCCCCAGCTTCTCTGAGTGTCAATTACAGCTTCAGCGGCCTCTCAGATCCAACCTACTTTGATATGAACCCTTTGACTGGAGTTATTATGACCACAAGGCATTTGACGAGAATATCACAGGATTATATGGAGATGGAGGTAGTTGATACTATCAGTCAGAGGCGAGCAAGGGTCCAAATCACCATAGAGGATGCAAATGACAACTCTCCAGTGTTCAATAAGCCATTTTATGATGTTGCAATCAACGAGAGTTTACCCGTAGGCACCGTAGTTCTTGTAGTGTCTGCAGGTGATTATGATAAAGGAGAGAATGGGTTTGTAACCCATACAATCAGTGGCGACCAGTCACTTCCATTTGTTATAGACCAAGACTCAGGTCAGGTCAGGATCACAAGGGACCTGGACTTCGAGTCATCAGATGATATCTATATTTTTGCGGTGCGGGCATCTGACTGGGGTTCCCCCTACAGAAGGGAGAGTGAAGTTAACGTTACCATTCGTCTGATAAATAACAATGACAACCAGCCTCTTTTTGAGAGGGTTTCTTGCAGGGGGATGATAAGCCGTGATTTCCCTGTCAGTGAGACGATTGTCACTATGTCAGCTGTAGACATGGACGAGCTCGGAATGGTGAAGTATAAGATACTGTCTGGGAACGAGTTAGAATATTTTGAATTAAATCCAGACTCTGGAGCTTTGTCACTGAAAAGGTCATTAGAAGTAGATAATTTAAAAAATGGGATATTCAACCTTAAATTGGTGGCAACAGATGGAGAATTGGTCTCTGATCCTACATTTGTAAATGTATCTGTGGTGAGGGGCAGGATGCCACCCAGGGGGTTCAACTGCAGAGAGACCAGAGTAGCTCAGCTGTTGGCAGAAAAAATGCTGTCAAAAGCGTCAGCCATGGCTAGAGCCCGACCTGCAGACAGTTATACAGACCTCTTCTTCATGAACAAACAGGCTCCACAGTTTGAGGCCTTGCCCACGAGTATTCTAGTGAGAGAAGACCTTGCCACTGGTGCCAGCATTTTTCAGGTGCGAGCACGAGATGGTGACACGGGCTTCAATGGCCGTGTCCTCTTTTCCATATCTGATGGTAACAAAGAAAACTGCTTCAACATCAGCATGGAGACCGGGTTGTTAACTGTACTGCAGCCACTCGATCGTGAGCGCATGGATCGTTACTTCCTTAACATCACCATCTACGATCAGGGCATCCCTCAGATGTCCAGTTGGAGGCTGCTCACCGTGATCATCGAGGATGCAAATGACAATGACCCCGAGTTTTATCAGGACAGCTTCTCGGCTCTTGTGTCTGAAAACTCTGCCGTTGGTGAGCAAGTTATTACTGTCACTGCGTTTGACAGAGACATTGGTCAAAATGGACAGCTCTCTTACGTAATGCTGACCTCTGTCCCCCAGTTTGGAATCGACAGTGAAACCGGAAGTGTATTTGTGGCGAGCTACCTGGACAGAGAAACAGTTCCAATGTTCATATTGAAGATTGAAGTGAGAGACAAGGCTGAGAGAGGCACTCGAAGGTCGTCAGTGACAACTCTTAGTATAATACTGGAGGACGTCAATGATTGCGCTCCAGCTTTCATCCCCAGCAGCTACACTGCTCGAGTACTAGAGGACCTTCCACCAGGGGCAGTGATTACCTGGGTGCAGGCTCAGGATCCAGACATCGGCCCCGGCGGAAAGGTCCGATACTCCTTGATTAATGACTTCAATGGCACTTTTGAGGTAGGTAACGTCACCTTCCTACTGCATATCCTGATTGTCTTTTTACTGACAGTGTGTGACACATGTCCCTGTGATACCTACATACAGATCAATGTCGTTAGTGGGGTCTTGAGGATTTCCAAGGAACTGGACTTTGAGAGACAACAGTTTTTCAATCTGTCAGTTCTCGCTGAGGACAGGGGCATACCTAGCCTCAGAAGTCAGACGTTTGTGGAGGTTGAGGTGGGTGGCACACACACACACACACACATTGGTCGTATTAAAACATTAGCTTATAATTCAATTTTATCCAATTCAGTTGAATTGACATCTGCTGAAGCAACCGTTAAGGATACATTAGCAAGTATTAATGAATAGTTTTTTTTACAAAATGAATTACTTGTATGGGAATCATGTGGTAATCTCTGCAGGTGGTGGATGTCAATGAGAATCTGTACGCACCCTACTTCCCCGACTTTGCCGTGCGAGGCTCGGTAAAGGAGAACTCTCGCACAGGCACCAGCGTCCTGACAGTCAGCGCTAAGGACGATGACAAGGGACGCGATGGCGTATTGAGGTACTCCGTCAGAGGAGGCAGCGGACTCGGCACTTTCACCATTGACGAAGACACAGGTGGGACACAAGATTGATTTTGAAGCCTTTTTATGTAAAGTGAAAATCCAATAATGCGTAGTGCCATTATTGGAACCTCAACAAAAATGTATCGCCATCAGCGACGACATTCACCCGTGTTTAGTTTTCACACAGATCTCGGGTTTTATTTTATTTGTGCCACAGTGATTTAAAAGTTAGAGAGCATCACCAGTTGCCTGTTTTTTTTTTGTGCATAAGATGGAAAAAGTTGAAGCGAGTGTGAGTTACAGTCAAAGTCAGTGTGTTGATGGGGCCTCACGTGGGAGCGGCGTACAGGGAGATCATTACTGTAATGAGGGCAGCATGGCCGCTCAGTACGACCGATGTAGTGCTGAGTGGATAACATTGATCAAGGCTCTCCCACACATCAGCGCTGTCCCCGATAACATAGTGAAATCCCTGTGACTTATTTAAGGAAGCCTGACCCAAAAAACTTCTAGTTGTGTCCAACTGTCCTACAGTGTCCAGCCAGTGCTAAAAACAGGTTGAGCCAAACAAAAAGCCGCTACTCACTCACCCGGGGATAAAATTAATCAAATGGCCAGTATGAAAATAGGACAGTACATATTCATCTTCACTCTGGCGCATGTACAGAATGAAAGGCCAATATTACAATAATATCATGCCATATAGTAATATGACAAGCTGGATAAGATCTTGGTATATTCTATATTTTCATTTCCATCAGAGGAATGGGATTCTCTGTGAGCACAGGGATATTGGCTTGAATCTGAGACCTCTCCAATTGACAGCTTTGCAAATAGCAAGACAGCAAAGTGTGCATATTTTAAATTTCCATGGGAACAGAGGAAGGTGTAACTGAGAGCTCTGGTTTTCCTATCAAGGCTCAGCGCGTCTCTGTCTCCACCCATGGTGCCGAAGCCTTTAAGGCTAATCTCTGTCTGTGTGTCGCTCTTCGTGGCGCTGAAGCAGTCAAACCTAAAGCTCACTCCATCACTCTGTCACTCACCCTAGTCTCTCTTCCTCCCTGCATGACTGCAGGGTACTCCTTAGGGAGTGCTACAGTAGTACTTCAGTAGTACTGAATTGCATATGAGGAAAGCTGAGAACTGTGTAATTTTTAAATGCATAAACTGTAAATAAAGGGCTATTATTCTGCCTGCTAACAGTTTATAGTGAAATTGAACCAGTTAGATTGCATCCCAACTACGAAATGAGTTTTTTTAATCAGTAGTGGTAATAATAACTTTTTATTAATCAGTGACAAAGAAATATGTTTTAAGGACAACTTGCTTTTTGTATATACTTTAAAAGCTTGTATTATCACAAATCACTGCAGGATCAGCTTTTCCACCAAACACTATAATTTAACAGTTAACATTGCTCGTAATTATTTGGCAAAATCTAATTTATTGTATGAATAAAAATAAAATTAACCAATGCATTATAGCTATTACAATGTTTCATTAGTCATACTCTCCCAGTGGAGACTCGTTAGCTATATTGATACTAGTGCGTCTTAAGAAAAGTGAAGAAATAATATTCAAACCTAAACATTTTTAGCATTAATAAGTATGTAATTAAAACATTAATATATAGTGGCGCAACAAGTTAAATCAATTGTCAATTTAAGCAATGAAGTGGATAAGAAAAATAAATAGCAGTGGAGTTAGAGTTGATTTAAACTTTATTTCAGGGAGGAAATGATAGTGCTCCTCTTTCACATCTCGTCACACTGGTCCCTACTGTACATGACTCGCACTGGAGGCCTGTATCGACCTTTAACTAGGCTAATTAGTATTGACAGTATAGAAAGCGAGAGTGGAACAGATGGACGGACAGAGAGAAGGTCTCTTTCCCTCATTCTCTCTGTGTCTCTGTCTCTTCATAGATATAACTGTGTATATGAAATAAACTCGTCTGGCACTCAATCAGACTAGAGATCATACTTTTACCCTCTTTCTTACTTTCACCTTAATTTCATAGATATCAATTCTCTATATGGGCCTGACTTGATCCATGAACTATTTCCTGGGAAATTGGTGAAAATGTCTCCTGCAACATTAAATAAGGTGAAAAAAATTGAATTGATCTGGATCCACACCAAGTTTTAATAGGCTCTTCTCTGACCCATACTGCGTCTTTCCATCAAGCTTCCTGGTAATCGGTCCTGTCGTTTCTGCGTAATCTCATTTAGAGCGAACGAACCAATGAACAGCAGACAGAGATAAAAACAAGACGTCCTGCTTTGTGTAATTAATCACACATTGACTAGAAAGTGTACAGTATACGTAGATAGTATCACGTAGTATTCTGTGATAGTTCTTGCCGCTTTTATTCGCTTTAGCATTATAACCACGGTAAGGAGCATCACAGCCAGTGAGAAAGTTTATTGAGTGCAGATTTTCCAGGGGAAATCAGAGTGCTTGTTAGAGCAGAAAGTGAAGGGAGAGGAGGGGAGTGGAAGTGAAGCGAAGAGTGGAAGGAAGAGGATGCAGGGGAGTCTAGAGTAGATATAAAAATTGGCAGAAGGAAACACTGCTTTCTTCCTCGCAGACGATTTTTAGATTTTTTATTTAAGTTCAAGCTTTTTTTTATTTTTTTTTACTAGTGTTACAAGCAAGTGAGAAGTCTCTGACCAGTGCCCTTTTGGTATCAGATGAGAAATACTCAAAGCCCATGCCAAGTGATCCTCTCTCAAGTGTTTCATTTCTTCTTGAAGCGTAGAAGTAAGTGCTGTCAGGCGTGGACGGAGCGGCACCGCTCTGTCCTCCCACCATGCATTTCACCCCCCTGTTGAGTGGCTTTGTTCTCGCTGCTTGTCAATCCGTGGCTTTTAGTGCCAAGACGAAATATGCGAAGAGAGAGCGGAACAGATGAAGAAAAGGGAAAGAATGAGAGAGTGGCACTAGAGAGAACGTATGCCTCTGCCTCCCCTGTAGTTTGTAAACTGGCTCTATGATGCATCGTGTCATATCTGCCATTAGTGAATGCCCCCTTTCCCCCACATTTGATATTAAGATGTTCAAGATGACTCACTCCGGTGTAGGTGGAGAGAACAGGGGCTATCTATCAGAAAAGAACGAGGATCTCTGCCGGCTCAAACCCTCAGCACTCCCGCACTTTGAACAGAGATTGGTATTCTTGTCATTTGTGAGGGGGTAAAGCAAACCCTGCAATTTCTCATTGAGCAGCTGTCAGAAGCCCCTGCACCTCGATTAGTTGGTTTGCAAGCTCCAGGATTTGTCACACTCGGGATAAAGCATTCTTTAAGTTACTCAGCAACACACTTTTAAAAGGAATCTATTTCTAGATTTGCTGAGAGAAATTAGCAGGCTACAAAGATGCAGAGAGTGTTTTCTCATCAATTACGTGATTGATTATTTGGTGGCATTAATTAAGCAGCGGGACCCTAAAACCTTTTTCTCAAGAATGTCGAAGTTGAGTAGACACGACAGATGGATGTAAAACTTGTAGATGAGAAAATATGCCGTGACAACCATTTTTTTCCGTTCACTCTTTGAAGTGTGTTATTTATGGTGAGAATGGATGCTGTCGAGTCAGATTTATATTGAATTCACTGAATGGTGCCTGTCGGTCTTAAAGTTCAAAGAGCTTTTGAAACAGCCAGCTCTGGTTTCCCCGTCTCTCTGTGTCGACTTATCTGACGGAGATGAGATGTGCTTTGAAAAGGACATGGTCAAGGACGACGGAGCAGGGATATTTTTCAGCAAACACTCTTGCTATGCTCCGTGCACGCCCCTGGGAAGCTACTTACTCATAATCTGACATATACACACGCTCTCTGGTGATAAGGCAACACCTTCGCCATGCAGCCGAGGAAGTCACAACAAGACAGAGTTAAGTGTGGGAAATAGTCAGACGGTCACACCTCTCACCACTGATTTGTATGCTTGTAGGACTATTGCTTGAGCATGTGGGGCTTCTGGCTAAGTGGAAGTTGTGGAGGACCAGACGTCTGCAGCGTGACAGTGAATCGAGTTAATTTCTCCCAACGACACAAAAGGATTCATATATGCATGAAAAGATCAATCTTTGTCTTTTTAAAAAAAAATCTATTCAGAAAAGATGACTTTACCGTACAGTCTCAGATTGGAGGATTTCCACTGAGCAAAAATATTTTATGATCTTTTTAAAAGGGATGGCCGAGATTAGCCACGGAATAACGTCGGTTTCCCCCAGGGCCCTAATGTCTGGGCCGAACTGTCTTCACCCTTTCTGCCTCCCTGGAGTCCGTCATCCATTTGTTTTGGTCCAACTAAGGAACTCACCAATATGGTCTTGTTGTTACACAGCAGAGAGAAACCCAGTATTTTATAAAATGTATTGTCTGTGTGTCATTTTTGATGCTGTCATTTGTCAAGTTGAAATTACAATACTTCAAATGTTAAAGGACGTCAAAAGTTGCAGAGAAAGTGACTCACATCATGGAGCAGCCTCTTACACGCGCACTCAAACACATATCATAATTGATATTATATCAGTTATATCAATTAATTCCTCTGCATTACTTATTGTTTCACTATTCGTTTTTCCTTTATCGCCGGGCCTGTTCTATTATAGAGGAAATCCTGACGTGTAATTGTTAGTTCATTAGTATGGATATGATGTCACTAAAGGTCCATCTCCGATCATAAGACCTTTCAGCCAACATCAAATATTACTCCATCACCAGCTCTAATACGTATTCTAATGGTAAACACCTTCTTTGCAAAAGCACAAAGCTGCACATTGAAGACCGTGACCTCACTTATGTCATCAGCATCGATCGGTCTTTGATAATAAAAAAGTGGGATTGAAGTTTTAAGTTTTGAATAAACATACAAAAGTGAATATTCAGTCGCTCACGTTCAGCTCCGTCTGGCATTTGATTCGAGTTAATTGTCTGTGTACTCGAGCACAGATGCGTAAACTCCGGAAGCGTCGACGCACATATATCTTCGCTCGTAATGAGTTTCCTCTCCTTCGTTGAAGTCAGAGATTCTTACATTTGTGGGAATAGTCGCCTCCATGAACTGCAACGATTTACCAGAAAGATTCGACGAGAGTTTGTGCTCGCTGGGCGGAAATGCGTCAGCTGCTCGCCTCTGATCAGCCCCCTCCATTTATCCCAGTTATTTTCTGCTGCTAGAGATGATGCAGCTGTTTACCGTATATTAATGTGGTCTTTCATGCTTAATCTGAGTTTTGTTAATAAAAAGCGACACTTGTGACCTTGCTCCGTTGTGCTCCGGCGCTCTTGACAATGCACAGACAGGGCACGCCAACTGTAAGGCTAATATTCAGAATGTGAACTGACGTGTGTGTGTCTGTCTGTGTGTGTGTGTGTGTTGTTTCCCTCGTGTTTACATGGACAGTCCTGCATGAATGATCTTAAAGACAAGAGGCGCCCATGTGTCATCCACTGTGAACATTGTCTTTGTCCCTCAAGAGGTCACCAAAGCTGTCGGCTACTTATCTTCCTTAAGGCCACTAAACGCGCGCTACTCAGTGTGTGTGTGTGCGTCTGTGTTGGTGTCTGTGTTGGTGTCGGGCAGTTCAGGGTACATTTAGCACTAAGCAAATAGCAGTGGGAGCAGTTTGGTCAGCTGTGATTAGCTGTAGAGGAGCTGAAACATTGAAGGTGACGACAGCACTGCGGCTAATGCCCGTGAATGTCACTGAAGCCGGGACACAAAGTTTACTCGCAACTTTTGTCCTTGCCTCCGGAAACTTCTTAGACTTTCCAAGATGAGATGTCTTAAGCTTGTATTCTGGAGATGAAACCCTTACACTACCCCTACACACACAGACACTAGGGTAAAAGATATGTATTCTGAACTAACGATGACGTTAATCTTTCTCTCTGCTTCAACAGGCGTGATTTACACCGCCGGTATCCTGGACTGTGAAACCAAAGACTCCTATTGGCTCACGGTATACGCCACGGACAAGGGAGTCACACCCCTGTCAGCTTCCATAGAAGTCTTCATCCAGGTACACACGCTCTGCCGACAATATTCACATTAAACTGTGCATGCAGAAGAGTCCCTGTACAGAGAAAACCTCTTTTGATCTGACAAAGGTCTGACGGAGAGATACGCGTGAACTTGAAATGCCAAGGAGCAGTTTGCGGTGTAAGACGGGGGTCACCGTGGAGATGTTTCTGATTAACATTCACCAGCGGAGCATTAATAAGTCACAAGAGTACGTGTTTAATAGATTATGATATTTGCAATAGTGTAATAATAGATGTTATATTTATAACTCTGTTAATCACCAGTGGTTGAATTCTGAATTTGTCCCAGATTAGTCAGCAAACAGCCCAAAATGTAGAAGTGGTAGTTTGATAGAAAATAGCTGGAAACTACTTTGAAAAACTGAACCACAGATTAAACCACACTAAAAGATTTTAACTGCAGCTTCTTGGGCTTCACACGCTGCAAAGAGCTGAGCTTTTATTGAAGCTACAGGGGATAGTTAGGAAATACTTGAAAGACTTATTTATTTATTTATTTCCACCACATCCAACAAAGTTTTGAGTCATTTTTGTCATCTTGGATTTTACATTTATTATGCTCTATATACTTAAAGGAGATATATGAGGTGCTTTCAGTTTTTCTTCCCTCTAGTTGGTTATAAAGGTTTTTTCTTTTTTCTTTTAAGACATAAAAGATCTGCAAAGCGTTTCAGGAGCTGCAGCAATGGACAGTGTGAGGAAAGTGAACGTTAATGCATGTGAACCTTTTCAAAATGATGAACCTAAATACGAGCAGTCTCCTTTAAGTGGTGTTACAGTCTCTATCTGTCATTGATAAACTTCTCCAGGCGGCCATCATTACTCTCTAATGACGGCAACAGACTGAGGTTTATTGCAAACCCCGCTGTGACAAGGATCCAATAAACGTGGGTCCGACGTCAACTTTGATATATGTGAACAGTATCGTGATAAAAACTTTGATGAATCGCAGCCTTTGACGGATGTAATAGAACGAGAATTAAAACGTCTTTACCGTGTATCAAGAAAACAATGAAGCCGAGCAAGAATCACAGGTTTTACCACCGTCCGTTTTGTTTATCTGGCGCCACTGACAACGCTGCATTCCTATTGGTTGGTGAGTAGATGTAGGTCGTAGCAGCAGTCACACTTTTATCTCAGACTATCGTCATGTTTCTTTCATGCTGGTTTGCAATAAGAGAGTTACACACATCGGTTGAATTCTCTGCTTTGGCCTCGGCTCAGTAATCCACTGTTTAAACACTCTAACACACACATCACTGCTACAGCACTGCTCCCCCCCTTTGGGGAAGAGTTCAGTGGCGTATAAAAAACACAAACAGCCTTTCCTGGCTCTGGGACATTCAGGTGCGGTGGTGTGATCGGGTGCTTTACTCGCAGCCTCTTCATCACAGACAGAAATAGGGAGATTAATCAGGCACAGGTGCTCCTCATTCACCGGCTGAAGCGTCTTGGCTCGGCGTGCCTCCCAGCAAACACTCCATCAACGCCCTGTTTGCCATAAATATTCTAGATCCATGCTGAAAGAAGGGAAATTAATTTGCAGTGCATTTAAAGTGTGACATCTATGACATTTTCTGGTTAATACATTTCCATTTTCTGACTGATGGCAAATCCACCTGAACCCGGTCCGTGCTGCATTTCCTCGGTTGTTTGGGATATTAAAATCAGCAGAGAAACACAACAACGCCATACATGCTGATTTATCAACGCGACCATTGCCAATTCAGATCCATCTCGGAGACAGAGGACAGATAAGATGGATGCGTGCAGCACTGCCAAATCCTGTAGCTCAACCAACCCATGCCTTCTCTCCCTTTCTCCACTTTGTGTCTCTTCCTTTCTCTCCTCCCCCAGGTAGAAGACGTCAATGACAACGCTCCCCTCACCTCGGATCCCATCTACCACCCAGTCGTGATGGAGAACTCTCCAAAGGACATGTCCGTCATCCGTATCCAGGCGCAGGATCCCGACCTCACCGCCACACCCAGTCGCCTGAGTTATCGCATCACTGCCGGCAACCCGCAGAATTTCTTCTCTATCAACCCCAAAACAGGTAGGACTCACAAAACAGACACACAACCTGTAATCAGAAGAGTTTACTTACTTACTTAGTAATTTATTCTTTTATACAACATATAATTACACAAGCCGATCGCATTTATGTGTTTTGCTCAGATTCTCTTTCATCATTTAACTCCCACTTTATTCATTCAATTAATAAAAGGCTTTGATTCCCACACAACAAATTAAAGAGACTTTTGTGCCCACGCTGTCGAACATGTAGGACGCAGACAAACTTCATCGCAATCAAATATTTCTTCTTCAGGGTTGTGAGCTCTTTGCATGAAATTAGTGCAGGTTTTTTTTTTTTTTTAATAAGCCCCCGTGTGGGTGAATATCTTCTAATCGTGAAGCAGTTTACATTAGTCAGAGCAATTTTCCATCCCATCAGCTATAGGATGGGCCAAATAGCATATTTTTATCCATTCTGTGACCTGTAGTAATATGAAATGAAAAGAAAAAACATGCTGGCAGAAAGTTTCAGGAATATTACCTGGGATTTGGAATGAGGTTTTTATTTAGAAGATCCTGCCAACTTCAAAAATCCCCCCTGCACTACACGAGGGATCAAGATGGAGCCTGAAAGAGGGTGAACCTGTGAAAATGATGATCTGACAGCCTCTGGTGATATATTACCTTTTGTGAGCCTGCGTGTGGAGAAATACTGCGTGAAAAGTTAAAGCCTGAAAGTTTGAATTTAATGTGTGCATGAAAAAGGAAAAACTACCAGTCTGTTTCTGTGAATGAAACCTGAATGGACAGCAACACTGTGGTAGTTCTGTCTCAGTGTAATTGGAGTGGGCGGTAAAGATGTGATCAGACTTACTGAGATTATCTTTTAGAGAGCGCACTCATTCAGCATTGTTCTGCCACACGGTCGGACTCAAGACTGATGCAGCGGAAGCAGATGGGTTGTTTTTTCTGTCCTTGTCAAAACCTTTCACCCACATTTCCCACAATCCAATTTAGTCAGAGGGCCGGCTGTGTTGCGTTAGCAGCTTTTGACTTTTCAGTTTATTTCATACACACATAGTACACCACGATTCAATCCATTTGTTGGATGGTTTGGACTTTCGGACCAATCACAGGAAGTTGAGACCCGTTAAATGATCGAAGGAGAAAAAAGAACTGGAAGCGACTCCCAGGATTATTTGCAATCTGTTGGTTTTGACTTTCAGGTGTGAAAACAGTTTTAGACCCAGAGATGAGGAGCAGGTCACAAAGGTGAATAAAGTTCACAACTCTTTGTTATTCTATTTCCAAATGTGTAGTTTTCCGAGCCAACCAAAGCAATTCATCAACATTCATCACTGGATCTCACATATTTTAATGTGTAAACTTTCATGTTGCAGCTTTGTGTTTACTGTTATTATTCAGAACACAAAATGATTCTAGACCCCTACACTGAACATTGGTACATTTTATGATCTATCACAATCTATTTTTAGACATTTGCCCATTTCATTTAATACACATTTCTGATGAGTTACAGCCGCTGCCTGTGAGGTGAAAGTCATCTCACAAAGTTACACCCAAGCGTCATTTCAAACCTCACAAACCCTTAGACCCCGTGTAAAAGACCGGATCCCTGTCAACACCAGGGGTAAAATAAAAAAGTGTTTTTTAATTTTCTAATCAAATTAATGAAAAAACGTCCCCTTTTAAAAAAAATGAGTCCGATTACGACTCTATCTGCACAGAATACAAACATTATTAAAGTGAGATGTGTTTCGCTTTGTGCTGCCAAGTGTGACGTGTCGGGAGGCCCCCGTGCTTTCTGCCGACAAGCTTCCATTGAGGAATTATTGAAGAGGTGAAATGTTCTATTCAAATCATGGAGAAGTCTCTGCTTCCTCTGCCCCAGATAAAGTTAAGAGTGTTTCAGTAAACAGCCAAAAGGCCTGAATATGTACGTTTCAGCTCTTACAGGGACCTGCACCCTGATGCAAAGACATGTCAGAGTGATGATAAAACAAATCTCTGGCCTGTATGTAATATTCAGTTCTGGAGAAAGTGATTCCCTCATGTTGTGCTGTTGCATGTTCACTCTGTCTGTGAATCAAAGTTACATTTCTCGTCCTTTCTTCTATTCCTCCCTGAATATGCTCATAGCGTCATAGACGTATAACACTGACATGATGTAGCAGAGTCGACTGAAGCGGCGGAAGAAGACTTATATTTATTCTAATAACGACGTACTGCTCCTCAGTGACACGTGCACTGTCTCCTTTAAATGTCAAACTGTGTATCCAAAAGATTTTGAGCAAACCTCGAAACCAACAGAGATCAGTTTTATTTGGACCAAATCTCCCCTAAATATGCCTGATTATTTTTATCAGGATTTACCAGACCCAGTATTATTATTAATCATAAAGTCGTCTGGAGGAACTCATATTGATGACTATCTCCTTGATGCCATGATAAATGAACTGTCACTGTAATACTGAGCTATTGGTTTTGAATATTTCATTCAATCCTCCCCCTCCTTAATGAAGCTCAGTAAATAACAAGAAGTGTAAATCCAAAAGATTTCCAGCAAACCTCGAAACCAAATAAGGTTTTGAGACTGTGGAAGAGGTAACTCTGGAAAGATAAACTAACCATGCAAAGGGCAACCGCTCATCACATTTATACATCATGAGAAATGGAAATCCAGGATTTACCTTTAAAGAATCGTGAACTAGAATAGCAGCATCAGCCCCTTCTGTAACCACTGCTCCATCCTGATTTGTATTTGGATCTGAGAAATCAACAATAATGTTAAAAAACATAGGGGAGGTGCACAACAAGGGGACATTGCTACTGTATGTTTTTTGAGGGGATTTTATAACATAAAAAAATGGGAATAAATATTTTCCACCACCTCACGGCTCCAGTTAGAGTCTGAGAATAAAACATGATCCGGACCTTGTTTATCTTCAGCTGTAAAAATGACTTATTGTTTGGCTGCATCTGTCAGATGTAAAACTCATTAATGGAGTCTCAAAATTATATAAAGTTGATTTGTTCTACAGCTGATTAGGATACACATCCAACAGCTGAGTGTGTGATTAATGTGTGTGTGTCTGTGTGTGTGAGAGTTTGTTGCTGTTTAATCAAATGATTAATTGGTTACAGAGGACAGAGCGTCTGATGAAGATGGCACTGCCTCATACAGGAAACTCACATGAGAGCGTGAAGAGCAACATGCACATCTGTGTGTGTTTGTGTGAGTGTGTGTGTGCCACAGGGGAGAGTTTTTAGCCATCTGAGCCCCGCTGCCTTTGTCAGAGACCCAGACCCAGTATTTTATCTGTGCATCATAAAGTCGTACAGAGGAACTCATACTGATGACTATCTCCTTGATGTCGTGATAAATGAACTATCACTATAATACAGAGCAATTGGTTTTGAATATTTCATGCAATCCTCCCACTCAGAGGCCGCGCTTCAGGTCGGCTTCCACCTTCTTATTGCAGCTCAGTAAATAACAAGAAAATTGTGGGAAAAAATTTTTTTTCATGGGTTTTCCGTTCTGCACTAAATCTGAATGCAATCATTGCAATAAATCGGAGGATAATGGAATCGGCAGTGCAGGTCTATTAGTTAGGTAATGAGACATGCATGAGTGAGAGATGTTTTCAATATGAATCACTCTTCGCTGCTTCCCCAGTCAAAAACTTTCCATGCACCAGAGCCAGTTCATCGGACAGATGAATAAACAAAGCCCGGCTGATTGATTTGCTTTCATGAAGCTGCTGCCTGCGACACTGTGACCTGAACCGAAAAGCGTCGTCAGGGTTCAGATCGTTTTTTCAAATCTACATCTGCAGTGACACAATTTTTAAAGTTGACAGTGGAAGTGTCTGTTTTATGCGTTTGATGGAACCCACCCTGCACCGAGGCAGAACCTTTGAATGAGTGCGACGTGTTTGAATGTGACAGCTTCACGGTGCCGCCTGTTCAGTCTGCGGGTGTGTGAGCGAAGCCGACCTCCATCGGGCGGAGTGAAAAAGATGAGTGTTGACACAGGGTGTTGTGTTATGTGGAGCGCTTCTTGTGCGTCTGCCATGGCATCACAGTGGCTGTGTGACCTTTTACCGCCCTCTGTTTGATCGTATTGATTCTGCTGTACCAACAGAAATTGGCTGTACATGTTTGAGTCAATGTGCTTGAGCAGCAATGAGCAGAAATCTGAAAATGATAAGAAAACCTCAACCTCGTGTTTTTAATCTCACTCCGGTTAGAAAAAGTATGAGAGCTACTCTCCATGTGAAGAACGAGTTTAAATTACTGACAGTATCTTTTAAAGAGGGAGTCGAAAGATTGGAAACAGGCCACTGGACCATTACATGAAATTTCATATGCATGGGAAGTTGTGGGTGGGGATTTTGAAACCTTTTTTTTTTTTCCTGACGTCCAATTAAAATGGAGGATTGTCCGGCTGCAGATGTGCTGCGAGCTGTAGATCATTGATTTTTATCCGAGCTGTTACTCATGCTGTGTTCTGCTGAACAAGCCCCACCTCCACCCTCTCCGCCCTCTCTCTCTCTCCTGCAGCTTGTGGCCGTCGCTCTGGATTTGCTCCTAATTTGCTTAATTGAAGTTAGCCTGCATGGCAAGCTCAAGGTGACACTGCGATATGTGCGAGCACGACAGCGAGCTCGAGAGCGTGCACGTCTATCCGTTGAGTGTGGACCGCACAGATATTTGGAGCATCCAAACTAATCCTGCTTTGCTGCAATGCTTCATTACGCTTTGACAAACACATTCATGCACATTTAGTGTTATTCTGCATCGAGATACACGCGGAAAAAAAATATAGTTTATATATGTTTGCATTTGTGCACGTTTATAAATATAATAATATTTCAGTCCTTGTATCCCTGCAATTTTTCCTGTCTTGTATTTATGACCTACAGGATGAAATACTTTGATCCAGGCGGAGACGCTTCTCTGTGTGTGCTCTCATGAATAGTATTCAAGGACATTCGTTTGTCTTGGAAAACAAATATCTGTTTATTGTAAAACTAACACGTAAAGAGCTGAATCCGCTGCTGGATCAATGTTTGCGTTTCCTTTTCTCCTCTGATAATGTCTGGAGAGCTTTTTTGATTTGTTAAAAGTTTTTACTGAGGAAACCTTGAAATTATCGATCAACACAATCTGTGTCAGGGGAGGGAGAGCCATCGTGGAGGCTGTGATCTCTCATGCAGCCAGCAGTCTCGGAATCACGGAATAATCTGGCTCGATCAAAGCTGTTATCAATAGCCTTGCTCCTTTCGCTGTGTCCTGGTGGCACGCTGGCCAACTGAGTGACCCACAGCCATGTGAACATGTGCCAAATGCCATCGCCTCTGCCAGAGCTGCAGGGCTGTAGTTAGAAAGAGCAATAAATCATCTGTGTGAATGTGGGGATTCACATGTGCACATGAGCCGCTCATTCTTCACTCTGATTGGGCTTCATAAAATGTTATACTGTTTGTAAACTTAAATATATATTTTATGATATTCAGACTTGAGACAGAGAATGTAGCAGCAGAGCTTCATCCACCACGTGTCCGTCAGTTTGATCTAAAGTCGCTCTTTTGTGACTTTTAGGGCTCATCACGACGACGGCGAGGAAACTGGACAGAGAACAACAGGCGGAGCACTTTTTAGAGGTACAGTAAAACCTTGACAGCGTTCATTGCTTTATAGTATTATTATTTATCTGGCCCTGCCACCTGCCACAGCTCACTATTAACAGAGACACGCTGGAGGACAACCCTGGCAGGCCCTCAAGGCTCCATAAACTGTGATGAATGGCTGCAGTTTTGGGCCCCAGGTTTTAGGATTTTCTAAATGTAATCATTCATCATTGGTTATCTTCTCAAGTCAGAATGAGAACAGGGGAGGAGAGGAGTCGGTCTGCCCAGCATTTGATAAGCGCAGACACTGGGCATACAGATAGCTCTGTGATTACCATTTCACTTGCTCCTGTTGCTCTGCATGCAGATGAACCTGATAATCACAGACTCCTGACTTTAGAGACACGGGCAAACTTTCCGGGCAACTTTTCCTTCCAACTTATTAAAGTCAGTTGAATCTACGAGCACTTTGCCCCTCTATAAAATGGAATGAAATAACCCGCAGTTGACCCACAGCACTGCTGCATGGGGTTGTGTTGCTATATTGCCAGGGGACTTGTCCAGGCTCTATAAGTCTGCTTTATTCAGCTCCAGGACTTAATAAGAGCCCAGCTTATGACAACACACCAGAAAATAAAGGCAGCAGACGTTCACATCTATCACTTTATATGTGCTCGAACACTCACAGCGCAAAACAGTTTAAAATTGGGGGCAGGAGTCTTTGTTGTCTCCTGTCTCGTCCTGAGATGTCAAGCTGGAATGCCCGAGCATGCACTGCATACAACGCCGCCTGTCCATAATTACTAGTCTAGAGAGCGGCCGAGCTGGCAGCAGTGGCGTTCGCCCTGATCTAATCCAATTGATCAGTGATCAGACCTCTGCCTCTGCCTCCAGGGGATCAATAATACAAAGAGATTTCTCGTGAGCTCGGCCCCACGTGGCCTCCTGCGCTCCACACTGACATTCATACAGTGGGAGATGTTAATGAAAATACGCCCCTCACAAATAAACACCCATCAAAACCTGCTCCACAGACTAAAATGGTTCCACGTTTCCTCAGGTAACAGTTATAGACGGACCCGTGACCACCCGCCAGTCCACCGTGTGGGTCATCGTTCACATCGAGGACCAGAACGACAACCCGCCCACCTTCCCTGAAGTCACCTACCGCATCAGCTTGCCAGAGCGAGACCGCAACAAGCGCGGTGAGCCGGTGTACCGCGTCTTTGCTTACGACCGCGACTTGGGGCAAAATGGCAACATCACATACAGCATCGTGGACGGTAACGACGATGAGAAGTTCGGGATTGACCCCAGGACAGCGATGGTGTTGTCAAAGAAGGTGGTGACGGCCGGAAGCTACGATATCCTCACCGTGAGTCTCATGTTTGAAATACGGTCATGAATGGTCCTGTCCTGTTAGGACTTGTCTGTCTGTTCGTTCGTCGGCAGGATTTCCACAAAACCTCGTGGAAGGATTTGACGTGGCCCAAAAAAGGAACACATAAGATTTTAGCTAAAAATTAGAGACGCTCTAAGACTGAGGCCTCGTCCAGGGACGGTCCCCTCTCACCACTTCCCGAGTCCTGCTTTTCCAAATCCTGTTTCCTCTAACAACATAATTCGTAGCCTTTTGGGAGGCCATTAGTTGATAGTGCTCGGCAAAGTGGACCAAACACGTTGGCACAAATCCAGATGTTTGAGCTTGTACACTTGCAGTAATCCCATGGTCAGTGAACTCAAAAATGCAGAGGTGGATGGCACAGCTGACATTTACACACATCAGGTAACACAGTGCATTCCTGATATACTCTGCCCTGTAACTGGCACTTATGCGTCGCCTGCTCTGGACTTGATCTAATCCCTAAGTCCCCTACTTTAGAATATAGGACACTTTGGTAAATGTCCCTTGTCAATTGAAAGTCTTCTGCACAGTTTAAGTTTCCAGCTAACCAGTTGTTGTTAGCAGGTGTTAGCGGTCACCAGTGGATATTAGCGACATAACCTCATTTAGCGTCATTAAGAGGTGAGAGGCTAAAGCTAAATCTGAGTGGCTCGCAGCGTCTTGGTTTTCAATCAACACCAAACTTTACGACTCTACCTCTCACACAGGTGCCTCCCAAGAGTTTCCTTTGATTAACGACGCTTCGATTTGACGTGTGAAAGTGACGAGTGAGCTGTTTGAAGTCTGTGCTGAGATCATCTGTTGAGGTTAATATTAAACATAAATCATGGATGAGGTGCAGCTGTATGTAAATGTAGGGGTAGTGTCAGTGTGGAGGAGATAGAGTATAGATTTTATCAGTTCTGACAGGGAGGCTTGAATTCTAACAGTCTTGATGTTTGCCTGCTTGGAATAAA